AAAAATAAAATATCCACTACATGTGTAAAAGTCAAAAAAAAATCAGTGAATATAAAAATATGAAGGTTTCTACAGTATAAAGCACAATATTTTATTTATATTCCATGTTTATATTTTATACTTTCTTCCTATATATATTTATACGGGACATTGAACATGTACAAATAAAGGTATTCGTATAAGTGATGAACATAATCAAAATTTTATTTTATTTGAAACCTTCTCTCACCTCAATGGCGGGTTTCAGCCTTTCAAAGCAAATCTTTACCTCTGTTACATCAGGCACAGAATCAGCACACGTAAATGGACTCAAGAAGCTTTAAGAGAGTGAAGAGATAATGATTACAATGCATTTTATTTATAAGAATGTGGACATCTTTTTGATGTTTTGAGTTCTTGCAACAGTGGCTATGAAAGCAGACAGGTGTTTAAAAACTAGTGTGTATTTTACTGACCCACTGTTACATTATGCAAATGATTCAGCTTCAAGTTGTATCTTGCAGATACAACAGTAAATTCATTTGTAGATTGTATCCTTTGTTGCTAATATTTTCTCTCATGAATAACATATAATATCTGACTTATGATATTCAATATTTATGATAACCAACATGTAACTTTTTGACAAACACTGTATGCCTACCTCAGAATTAAGAAACAAAGCCAGACCTGAGTTTTGTGGCTCTCTCTGCACAGGTTACAGGTCGACCGGAAGTGGACGTCTTTCTAGAAATAATACAAGGAACAACATGTTGGTCACAAATGCAAACATAAGAAAGTATTTTTCTTTCATATTTTAAAGGACCAGTGTGAAGTATTTGGTGGTATCTAGTGTTGAAGTTGCAGACTGCAACTAACTGAACAATAATGGCATGTGTATTTGACAAACTGGGAATAAGAACGGCTGTAAGGTGTGTAGGAGAAACTACGGTGGTTGAGAAAACAGAAGGCAATCCTGTAGATATTCATTCTAAGGTGACATAACAGTTCATATATTCAGGTGATTATACACTAATGTCAACAGATCCTCCTAAATGTTACACACTGGATATTTAATTTATAAATTTAGCTCATTTTAAATTGATCACACACTGTAACCAGTAAACCTATTTCATTTTTAGTTGGTTCTGTAAATTCAGTTTGACCTGCAAGCATGAAATGAGAAATGTGATCTTTTTTTTTAAAGATTTAGGCATTTTAGCCTTCATTGGACAGTTTGACTGCTAAGAGGCAGACAGGACACATGGGGAGAGAAGGGGGGTATGACATGCAACAAAGGCTGGAATTGAACCTGTGTGTCTGACGATGAGTGACAAGACAATATTCGCTGGCCAATCAGATCTACATTTTTATTCACCCTCTCCAGCCTTAGTCAGAGTGCATGAGCACCATTAACCTGAAAGGTATATGGTGCCAACTCCAAGATAATTCAGAGAGTTGTCCTCCAGTTCTGTGATTAAACCAGTGCTTTGTGTTTTCATATCTTAGGCTGACATCCCTGCATATTCAAGCAAAGCAGCGTGTGCATCTC